TGCATTTCCAGCACCTTGCTTTTGGTCACATACTTAACAAACTGTAATAGGGGGTTATATCCTAGGGATTTGGGGTAGTTCATAAAGGCAAAAAGTAAAACACCCCAGTTACTTTTTTAAAACTCTCAAATCACAATGAAAGGCTGACAAGTACAGCGACTGCAACTTCCTCTGGGACATCAGTCATGTCTTCATGCCACCGTCACTGGGAGGAATTGACCTCCGGGCCAGTTGGCTGTGAGGACCATCTCTAACGACAGCAGAAGGGCTGCTGTGCAGGAGACACCCCTATGGAGTGTCTTGCTTCAGTGGGGCTTTGGTGTTCATTGAATCTGATCCTTGAGTGTGTCTCTTATGGATGTGTGTCTAATTGTAATCTGGGATGGTCTCACACTGACCACTGGGTACACTGCCATTTGGGTCACCGGGGAGGTGAAAAGTAACCACTGCCTGAGACCACCCAGAAGGAGCTACAGAAAGATCTACAGATTCCTCCTCTTTGTATCGTGTTTGGAAGTGCCCAGATGAGGCCCAGATATGAAGCAAGGCAGGCTGGTGCAGATGCTAAGTGTTGGGCCTTTTATTGACCCAGCCCTTGTTTGACAGATTTTAGCCTGAGCAAGGGCAGGCCATTCATATGCAAAAGCCACTGCACACAGCTTGAGTGTGGTTGTAGATTGGATGAGGCAAGGTCTTAGGGCCATGGTCAGGGAAACTGTGGCTTGCGAGCCACATGCAGCCCTTTGGCCCCTTGAGTGTGGCTCTTCCACAAAATACCATGGCCTGGGCAAGTCTATTTTGAAGAAGTGGCATTAGAAGAAGTTTAAGTTTAAAAAAAATTGGCTCTCAAAAGATATTTCAATCGTTGTCCTGTTGATACTTGGCTCTGTTGACTGTCCTAGGGAATCACCCGGGTGGAGCAAACATAAATGGCTGCCAGTTAGCTCTACAACCTGAGAGGTCCCAGCATAGAAACAATGATCCCTGTGAGCATCTCCGTCTGAGAGAAAGCTGCCCTCATGTTCCTGCCCTGATGCCAGACAATCCACTTCCTCCTCGTATGTGTCTGCCCCCCCTGGGGCTGGAGCTCGGAGGAAGTGGGACCTTGTAAGTTCAGTCCATGGTGCTGGCCTTTTAAGAGGAGCAGCTGGGTCTCCAGCAGCCTCTGTGTCACTGAGCCCCAATCCATCCTGGTTTTTTCAGCCCAAAGTTCTTACTGCCTATAGGTACTTCTCTTCCCAGCTCTGGGACCCTGGGCTGGGGTTCTGGTGTGGGGCTGGGACCCCTTGCTCCTCTGGGCAGCCTCTGCAGAGACAATCGCCCTCCTGATTAAAAAAAGGTGCACGTGGGTGCCTGTCCCGGGCCTCTGCACCTCCTGCGAGTCTCAGTATACTTCTTTACTTCTCTAATTGTAGGACTTCCAGCCAGCCAGATTTCCAGTGGTTCTGGATGATGGTTGTTCTGTATTTTAGTTGTAATTGTGATATGGTTGTGGGAGTCAGCAAGTGCAGGCATTTACCTATGCCGCCATCTTCAAATCTCCCATCTCTCTTTTCTTTTTTTTTTACAGCCCCTCAAAACACATCCTCCAGTTTCCCAGGGTTTGTAAGTTAGTAAGGTGAACAATCATTAAACAACTGTGATCCTATTCTTACTGTGTATCCTTCCCCCTATCGAGGCGGGGGGGAGGGGGAAAAGGAGATGGAGAGTTAGGAGGCAATAGAAACATGGATGTGAGAGAGAAACATCATCGGCTGCCTCCCGTGCATGCCCTGACTTGGGATCGAATCTGCAACCTTTTGGTGTACAGATGCTCCAGCTGAGCCACCCAGCCAGGACAACATAGGGTGTTTTAGGAATTAAATGTAGCATCCCAGAAGAAAACTACATCTTGGAAAATCAGAAATCTCAGGAAAGGGTTTCCCCAATACTGTCACAGATTCTCTGATGGTTACATTTGTCAGTAGGGAAGACCTATGCTTTTGTAAATGTTTCCTGTCTTCATGTTAACCTGACAGCTTTCTCCTCAATGACTCAACTCCACACAGTTCTTTTCCCATTTGGCATCTACATCAGCAATTCCCCCGAGGCATAGACAGGCTTCCATTTATCTTTGCTAGAAATGAATCAGAAAACAAATACTTAATAAATTTGAGACCAAGAATATTAGAAATAATAGATTATCCAAAATAATAATAATAATAATAATATGTAGATCATAATATTTTTCTTCCACAATATTTAGAGATTTTTCTACATCAGTGCATATAGATCTGTCTGCACTCTTCTCTTTAATATCAATAAATGCATTTTATATTGAATCAATTCTAAATTGATGATGGACATTTCAGTTATTTAAAAATCTTCATAATTTCTATGAAAGCCATATAACTACCAAAACTGATGATGTACAGCGACTGGTGACCCCCTTGGTCTGGTGCCCCCGCTCACCTGCTCCACCATCCCGCTGTGGCCAATGCCCATCATGTTCTGTGCATGCCCACTGGTGGTCAGCACATGTCATAGTGACTGGTTGTTCAGTTGTCCCGCTGTTCAATCCACTTGCATATTAGGGTTTTAGAGTTCCAGTGAACAAAATTCGTGCATGGGTAGGGTCCCTAGGCCTGGACGGCAATCAGGGTCAATCTGTGGGCCAACCAGCAGGGAGATCAGGGGACCCCAGCTGGTACTCACCTTGGCCAGCCTGGTGCCACCTATTTGCTGGCCCCACCCCCCCACCACCACCACCACCAATCACCTCCCTCTGCAGGGCAACCAGCAGGACAATCAGGAGGCCCCACTGGAACCCGCCTTGGCTGGCCTGTGGCCTGCAAGCTAGAGGCAGCTCCTGTGTTGAGCGTTGCCCCCTGGTGGTCAGCACACATCATAGCAACTGATTGTTCCACCAGTTATTCCGCCATTCAGTTGATTTGCATATTAGGCTTTTATTATATAGGTTACAATGGAATATTATTCAGCAATAAAAAATAATGAAATCTTGCCATTTGTGATAGCATGGATGGACCTAACGTATATTATTTTAAATGAAATAACTAAGGCAAATACCATATGGTCTCACTTATATGTTGAATCTAAGAAAACAAATGGACAAACATAATTATAGATACAAAGAACAAACTGATGGTTGTCAGAGGAGTGGGTGAGGAAGGGGTGAAAAGGTGAAGGGGATTAAGAGGTACAAACTTCCAGTTACAAAGTAATGTCACAGGATATAATGTACAGCACAGAGAATATTCAATAATGTCATAACTTTAGCCCTGAACACTATACCCAATGATTAGAGCCTCAGCCAGCGCACTGAAAGGTCTTGGTTTCAATTCCCAGTCAAGGGCACATACCTGGTTGCACATTGGATTCCTGGCACCTGTGTGGGAGACAACCAATCAATGTCTCTCTCTTCCTCCCTCTCTTCTACTCTATCTAAAATCAATGGGAAAATATCCTCAGGTAAAGATTAACAACAAAAACACAGGTATAACAGAAAACCAAATGACCAAAAAGGAGGAAAAACAAAGAATTGAAATAGATCCACAAGAAATACAAATATTGCAAATATCTGACATGGACTTTAAAATAACTTTAAGTATGTTTAGGAAACTAATGACAAGATGGATAACTTTAACAGTTAAAGCTGTAGTAAAAAAAATATGTGATACTTTAATCAATAAAGAATTTTTTTTAAAAAGCTGTAGTAAAGATAAGCTAACAGATTGCTGGAACAAAAGAGTGCCCAGTAAAACCCATACCTATAAGAGCAATAGATTTTCAACTAAGGTCTCAAGGCAATTCACTGGGGAAAGGCTAATTCTTTAAACAAATGATGCTGAAACTATTGAACCTATCCACAGGCAGAAAGATGAACTTCAGTCTTTACTTCTCACCATATACAAAAATGCATTTGAAGTGGTTTATCTAAATGTAAGAACTAAAACTATAAAAAAAAAAAAAAAGTTATAGATGAACACATAGGATAAAAATCTTAATGGCCTTGGGGTTTGCAAAGATTTCTTTATTCTGCTACAAAAGCATCCACTCTAGAAAGAAAAAATGAATAAATCAGATTTTACTAAAATTTGAAACTTTTGTTCTTCAAAGAAAATAAAAAGGCAAGCCACAAACTGGGAGAAAATGTTTGCAAAACATGTATGTCTGACAGAGGACCTGTGTCCAAAATTTCTTTAAAAAAGTAAAATAAAATAAAATAATAAAAAAAAAACTCTTGCAACTCAATAATAGGAAGACAACCCATTTTTTTAAATGAGCAAAAGGTTTTAACAAAATGCTTCACAAAATATAGATGATTGGTACGTAAGCACATGAAAATTGCCAGAAATCAATTGGCTGTGTAAAGGGATAGATGGGGAGTCCTCCACAGTGGGGTTCAGCAGGTAAAGTCTAAGGCTGGAAACATGCTAGTTAGAGACAAGGAGGGAAGTATGCCACAAATCAGCAGGAGCTGTCTCTGAGGAAGGGGGTCACAGATTACTGGTCATAGCACATATGGGAGGAGCTGTCTGAACATTTTAAGGTGTGACTTTAATATAAATAAAAACTTGTAGGGCACTATCAGAGCCTATGAGTCACAACCTCGGCCTGCCCGGTGGTGAAGCGGCTCTGTGCCCCACCACGGGCGCGGACAGGAGACACGGAATTTCCCATGTGGTCGCGGGTCCTCGGACACAGTCCTCAAGTTTGCGAGTGGAGGCTGGGTAAGCGCACCAGGCAGCTTTTGCTCTGAAGAGCTCAGGGGTTCCTCTTTTGGGGACCCAAACACTGGAATTGGCATGTTTAAAGTTGCTTAAATTGAGGGATGCCTGAACTCTTTGCATTTTTCTCAGGTAAGAACCCAAAATAAAGACACATATTTGAGGAAATGTGATGCTTTGAAGGTAATTCACCTTCTTTCCTCCAAGCCATGTGGGAAGGGGGAGTAGAGGCCTGATGACCTAGTAAGTCTGTGCTTCTTGTTCCTTCTCCAGGTGGCCACTTCTTTCATCGAAGCTCTCTGTCCCCTCGGAGCCTGGTGTATGAGAGCGAATTCTCCACACTTGAACCTTCTTTGGACATGTATGATGAGAACAAAACCTGATTTTTTAAAAAGGGGCCGTTGGGGTCACCTCTTCTGTGATTTGATACATGATCACCTTCCTTGTTTTGTATTCTGTCAGCGTCTGTTTTGGAAGAGCGGCGCTTTCCAAGCTCAGGTTGGGGCTCCGGGTTAACTTGCAAAGACCCCCTGGTGAGGCTTTGAGAACAGCCTATTTCCCAGGTGACCTGGTGGCACCCAAAACCGCCCACCGCTGGCCGCAGACCACGGGCCCCGCCAAGCCCGGCTGTTTGCAGACGAGTTGGCCCCAGGTGAACGGTGCGTCGTAAACGTGTCTGAACAGCCACGTGCTCTCTGGGTCGGGGTGATGCTGGCATTTTTAAATACCTTGTGCTCCTCACGATGCCCTCTGCGCGCTTCTTACTGACGTGGGTACGAGTTGCTGCTGCATGGCCCACTCTGTCTCTTCCCGTCTCTTAATCTACTTCCTGTCAAAAGGCCTCTTTCTGAAGGTTCCCTCTTCTGAGACTGACCGCCCGGAGCGTCGCCACGGGCAGCAGGCGGGCTGTGCAGGACACACAGGCGTCCCCATCGTCACAGCATGGCCTAAGGTGTCACATGCTGATGTGACCACCGAGCCCTGAAGGCTCTGCCCCCGAGGCCTGTGACTTATTTGCTTGGCAATAAGGTGGGGGGGGGGGGGAGGTTGGCACTCAGGAGGCCAGCCTGGCAATTATCTGAGCATGACAGCCAGTGGGTCATGCTCAGATAATGCGTGATCGTGTTTAGATCGCATGGCAGACGTGGGATGGGCACCTCGCTTTCTTCTTCGCTGGTCCAACCCAGTGCTCTCCACCAGCCTTGGCGGCGGCATGAAGGCAAAGCTTCCAGAAGAGGACATGGTGGCCCGTGTAGCACAGATCGGGGACACGTGCTCTTCCTACACACCTGGGAGGCATCAAGTTAACATCACAAGAAACATGCATTACAAGAGTAATCCCAACACGGAATCATGATGAGCAAATCTACGAAACCAATTCTAGACATCCTTCTTGCTCAAGACACACCGGTTCAGCCTGTTTCTCACTGTGACAGCCCGGAGAGGTGCCGGAGCCCCCATCGCATGCCGGGAGTGAGACCAGCAGCACACCGCCCGCCCCGAGCGGCTCTTCCCCCGGGCCGTGAGACGGGCTGGGGACGCTGCCCTCTCGGCGGGCACCGGCTGCTTCCCAGCGCCCCCGCCTGCGGTTTGGGTAAGATGCCTCGGACACAGTGAGGCCCCGAACAAACCCACACCGAACCCTGCAGCCTCTGCAGCCCGGGCGCCACCGGCAGCGTTTGGTTTTCGAAGTTTGAGGTCTTGGCAGGTTTTTCTTTCCCCTTTACCCAAGGGCTTTTGCTTGTTTCCTAGTTATGGTTGTTGCACTATAAAAATATTTTTTATAAAAAGCAGTTTCAGAAGCCCTGCTCGTAGACAGGTCTGCCGAGGCCCAGACTTGGGGTTCATGGGCTCCCCGCGCTGCCGGCTTCTCTGGCCCAGAACTCCGCTCCAGCGCAGGTTTTCTTCCGCCTGTGCCGCCCCCCAAAAGCAGTCACCTTCCTGGGAAGAGATTTAAATTCAGGCCCTGAGAACCCAGTTCTTGATACCATGTTTGAATTTCTGGTGACACTAGGACATACGTTTTCTGCCGAATAGCGGGGAGTTTCTCACAGGGAGCGCTCTGCGGCCCCTGCTCCAGGCCCAGCCACTCCCTCTTCTCTGGACAGCGAGCTGCTCTCCCTCCAGCTCCATGGCGCCCGCCACCGGGGCAGAGGCCTCTCCGCAGGCCTTGCGCTTCGCTTCGGGCGGAGGGAGGTGGCACCATTGACCAATCAATCCATCTCTCCCACAGCGCCCTCTTTGCTGAGCTGAGCGAAACCCTCCTCCAGCCACCGGGGGGCCTGGTGGGGCGGGGCGGGGCGGGCAGGAGGGCTGCTGGGCCGGAGCTTCCTGAGAACGCAACTCCACAGGGGCAGCCTCCCCTGAGAAGCTCAGCTAGGAGCTGGGTGGCCAGAAGCTGGGTGGCCAGGAGCTCGGTGGCCAGGAGCTGGGTGGCCAGGCGCTGGTGGCCAGGAGCTTGGTGGACAGCAGCTGGGTGGCCAGGAGCTGGGTGGCCAGCAGCTGGGTGGCCAGGCGCTGGGTGGCCAGGCACACGCGGTTGGCGTGCAGAGAGGTCTCGCTGGTGCAGGCCTCGCAGCACCGCAGACGTTATGGGGAGTGTATGACCTCTGGTCGTTTGGGGGTGCAGTGGGGGAACTATTTGAAGAGAGAGGGGGCAGAACACTGACTTCACTGCAGGCCTCTGTCCCTGCAGTGGCCTCCGCTGGCAGCAGACCCAGGTGCATGTGGCTGAGGTGGGAGCGGCAGGAATTGGGTTGGGGCAGTTAAAATGCAAATGCCTACAATTCGGTGATGTTTAACTTGCTAGGGAAAGAACTCCCCGGAGCCCTCCTTTCCCTTTACTTCAGGCTCAGAGGAGAGGGGGCGGCCAGCTGGCCACAAGCGAGCCCAGGCTGGGGGCCCATGGCAGGGCGGGGCGGTGTGGGGCAGTGGGTGGTGCTGGCGGGCAGCATGTCCACCCAGGGCCCCAGGCGGCTGTCCCCTCAGGGGAAGACCAGTTCTACCTCCGGGGGTCAGCAGTACCTTGTAGTCTGGTGAGCCCCACTTTTTAAGAAAGGCATGGAGCCCCTGCCCCTCCTCAGGCCTGGCTCAGAGAGCGCCCAGGAGGCACCCACCAGCCTCTTGCCTGCCATAGCCTGGCTTCCAAAGATGTGGTTGCGCCTGCCCAGGTGGCTCAGTGGTTGGAGCATCGTCCCATGTACCAAAAGGTTGTGGTCCAACTCCCAGTTAGGGCGCATACCTAGGTTGTGGGTTTGATCCCTAACTGGGGCACATACAGGAGTGTGGGAGGCAATCCACATTTCTCTCTCTCTCACATCAATAAACACATATCCTCCAGTGAGAGCTTAAAAAGAAGTGGAGTCACAAATGGTTTAAACAAAATAAGGTTGTTAAATATCACTAACTTTATGTTTCCTATGGGCTTCAAAAGTTCTTCTCATATTTTTACTACCCCTCACGTCCAATTCTTTCCTCAGTCTACATGTTAAACAAAACCGGTTTTAGCTGGCCCTGGTGGTGTTTCCAGTGGTTAGAGCATCAACCTGCCCACAGAAGGGTTACAAATTTAATTCCCGGTCAAGGACACGTACCCGGGTTGCAGGGTCCATCCCCCACCACTGTCAGGGCAGATGCAGAAGGCAACCGATTGGTGAGTCTCTCTCACGTAGACGTTTCTCTCTCTCCCCCCCTCCCCCTTCCCCCCTCCCACTCTCTCTAAAAATGATCAATTGAAAACATTTCCTCGGGTGAGGATTAACAAAACCAAAACAAAGCAAAAACACTGGTTTTAACGGAAGAAAAATCAAAACGTTGCCCTGTGTTGCCCTTTTCTACAGTGTTTCTGCTGTAGGCAAGCCAGGAGGCAGGTCACCTGCCTGCACATGTCATGGCACAAAGCACCGGTGTCCAGGCTGGGACTCGGGAGGAAGAGGCAGGATTATAGGCTGGTTCTGTCCTCAGGCCGTGATTTTGTTCTCACTGTGTGCCAATCACAGGCTCGGAGTTCAGGTGAGCCCAGCGATGATGGAGATTTGCGGTCCTAGGACACGGGCACAGTAACAGCCACTGGGCTTCGAGACAGATGAGATGAGGGTGCGTCGTGAAGAGGGGTTGCCCAGGGCACACACAGGGGCGGGGTGCAGCGCGGAGAGGCCAAGAGTCACCTCGAAAGGCAGCACCCAGGGACAGCAAGCGGGGAGCTTGCGATGGCAATGGGACTTCCCTGGGGTTTTCCCTCGCGCTTCTCCCTCGCTCACGCCCTTTTCCTGTTTTTTCGCTCTGACCTGGGGAAGAAGGAAGATGTGTTATATGACGTGTCTCCTTGGGCTTGTCGGTGTCAGATGCGGGGCAGGAAGCTTTGCTGTAGGGAGGGCCTAATCTCTTTAGAGCGAGAGCTGGCGTGGGTGGGCTGGCAGCACTGCGTGCCTGGGGGGCCTGCCTGAGGCAGGAAGCTTCCCGGGGTCTGAGGTGAAGTGGGAAAGGCGGGCGCGAGGTGGCGCGGAGCCCAGGCTGCAGTGGTGGCTGGGAGGGCTGGTGGGATCCGGGGAGAGCGCTGTGGGCACCGGCAGGACATCCGCGGTGGCACGGAGACCAGCGCTGGGTCTCCCCAGAGATTTGGGGAAGGAAGAGGGGTCAGGGCGAGGCCCCTCTGCGCATCGGACACCTGGGAGCTGGTTTAAATGCACAGCCTGTACCGCCACTGAGCCCCATCTCAGTGCCGCCCCGCAAGTGCCCAACCGCCTCTCCTCCCCCCACCCGCCTCTCCCTCTCCCTCTGCCCCTCCCTCTGCCCCTCCCTCTCCCTCTCCCTCTCCCTCTCCCTCTCCTTCTCCCTCTCCCTCTCCTGCTCCCTCTCCTTCTCCCTCTCCCTCTTCCTCTCCCTCTTCCTCTGCCTCTCCCTTTTCCTTTCCTTCTCCCTCTCCCTCTCCTGCTCCCTCTTCCTCTCCCTCTCCCTCTCCCTCTCTTGTTCCCTCTGCCTCTCCCTCTCCCTCTCCTTCTCCTTCTCCCTCTCCCTCTCCTGCTCCCTCTTCCTCTTCCTCTTCCTCTGCCTCTCCCTCTCTCCCTCTCCCTCTCCCTCTCCCTCTCCCTCTCCCTCTCCTGCTCCCTCTCCCTCTCCCTCTCCCTCTCCCTCTCCCTCTCCTTCTCCCTCTCCCTCTCTCTCTTCCTCTGTCTCTCCCTATCCCTCTCCTGCTCCCTATGCCTCTCCCTCTCCCTCTCCCTCTTCCTCTCCTTCTCCCTCCTCCTATCCCTCTTCCTCTGCCTCTCACACACACACACACACACACACACACATGCACACGCACACGCATGCACATGCACGCGC